GTGAGTGGGAGCCTCTCACCCAAAACTCACCCCCGTCAAGGGACCCAAATGCGACCACTGAAGAGGAAATGCGAGGGCTGACCGGGGCAACGCGTCAACGAGACAACCAGAACGCAAAAAAAGGTTAAGAGCAAAAAGTTCAGGCGATCACACAGTCGCTACATTTTCAATCGATTCTCGACGACGTATCAGAATTGAACAATGGTGTTTCTTTTTTTCTATTGGTACAGTGGAAATTTAATTTGTCAACTCTTTCGAGTAGCAAGGCAACGTACGCGTGGCCTTCTATGCTGTTGTTCTATGCAAAGTTACTCTACTGATTATTCGAATTTTGTGAAAAATCTTTGAATTTTACTATTCTTCACGTTCCTCGTGAATTTAGGGGATGATAGTGTTTTTCTTCTATTGATACGGTGGAAGTTTCATTTGTCAACTCTTTCGAGTAGGATGGTACAATTTTTCTTCAATTTTTGCACCCGAAAGAGTTTAACGGACAAACACGACGTTTTCGTTAATTTGTAACGCAGCAATGTACCAAAGCCGAATTTACGAGGCCACGCGTCTCAGAATCGCGAAGTTCGCCTAACAAATTGAGACAAATGGCAAGCACATTTTTGATTCGTCGTGCTTCTCGTAAAACCTGCAATCTCCATAAAAATTAGTCCGCGCTTACGCGAAGTCACGTAGCGCGGGATTTTTAAAAGGTACGAACAGGCGCCCTGTTTTGAATATCAGTATTCATCAGGGGGGGATTTCTATGCATGTTAAGTATACGTGTAAGAAGCATAGTAGTCAACGGGAACGATGCTAGGAAGGCGTAAAATTAGTCGAACGTACTCTCTCCGTCAAGTATTATATTTACAAAATATTTATGTTACAAAAATCGAGTAAAAAAAGCAAAAAGTAAAAACTAAAATTTGCATGCAACGAATCAATAATAAAATCGGGCCATTTTCGTAGCAATTTTTCCCGGGTACAAAAATGTAGTCATTGAATATTTGATATTCTGCATATAGATTTGTGTATTACACCCGAAGCATTTTCCATCGAGCTTTCGACTCGTCTCGTATTTGAAAATCGATGGAATCTCGACTTAAAGACTCTTGATAAAACCATGCTGCTTCCTAGCCTGGCATTCAGGCCTCTTATTGATTGCATGACAATCAGAAGCCATTATTGTCAACGTAATCCCGGCGCATAGGCGTCGAGTCACCGCAGTTGACGGGAGATTATGTGGCAGTGTCTAAGTATCGATATGAAACACGACATGCAGTAGCCTGCCAGTCAGTCAAAGTTTGACCACTGCCCGTGACTGTGTTTGCTGAACGATTGAAATTATCTTCGTGTCCTGTGTCACGATCCTGTTCACCTATTGTATTATGTCATCCCGTAAGTTCGTGCCAAAAATGACAAATTTTTCGACGAAAATCCAAGGAAATTCTATAGCGACGACGTAATAGTCTTACCTAAAAAAAAATAGGACGAGCTTGCAGAATCAGAAGGCGCTTACGCTTTTTTTCTTTTTACCAAATTTAAAGGTTCTTTGGAAATTATCGATGTAAATTATAAAATTCGACAAAAACTTACGGAACGACTTACTAAGTATAACTTACGAACTCGCGGGAGCTCGAACGTTACACGGGAAGAACGGTTACGGAACGTATGCATAATTAGTAACGGTAAAATATGCATTAAACATCCGGTTGATTATTAACGTTGATAGATTTCGAGCATGCTCGTGGGACGTGAGTTTCGATCGACGCTTGATCGATGTATTGTACACACCGTTAACGTGTTATCGATATTCTTCGCGATTTCGCGCGATTCGCCACGGATTTGCATAAAATTGCGCGAGAAAGCTGGAAAACATTGGCGGATGCTCGCGACACGTCACCGTGGGTATTAACGAATGAAATATGCGGAAAAGTCTATCCTTCGTTAAACGTTTTCCGGGTGAAACATTTTCGGAAAATTGCCAACGCGTGTGCTTGGGTCGCGCGTATTTCATATCGTACCTTTATAATCCGAGCTGCATATTATTAGCGAGTAATTAGAGAAAAGTGTCCGTGTTAATTGTGAGATACGAGAGGAAATAAAGGTGAATTTTTAATTCATCGAACCTGTGTAATTACTTTCGACTAACAACGCGACTATCGGGGACGTGCAGAATTTCAATCGGATCCCCCGATGGCGGAATCGTAACGAAGCAGCGAATGATGGAATAAAGAACGAGCATAATAAATTCGTTTCACTCGGGAATGTTCGGTGAAACGAAATTTATCGACTGGTACACGCAAGCTTTTCCAACGTTTCGATTTGACGTTTGATTGGAAAAATCGGAATGTTTCACGTGTCGCGGCGCGTTTTTCTTCGAATTCTACGCTTTTTTTCCCCTCCCTTTCTATACTCGATCGTGAATGTTTTTCACGCGTTTATGCGCGAGGTTGTTATAGAATCGGTGAAACACGAACGATTGATTTCTCCCCTCGATTGTCCGCCGATGAACACATGACGCGGAGCTCTCGCGTGATCCGGAATTCAATATTACAATCCTGCTTTTAATATAGAACACATCTAACTGAACACCTCGCGAATTGAATCGTAAAAACTACCCCGTGCTTTTTTTTTTTTACCAGGAAATTTCCCGTTGATTCCACTTTCGCCTCGCAGGTCGCGTAATATTTTTAATACGATTTACGCGGCAACGCCCCGGAATTTTACAGCGTTAAAATCATCGTTTCGTGCGATTTGCCAGGATCCAACCTGCGGGACTGTCGAATAATCGCGACTATGTTTCGATGTTTTGTAAGTTAAACGCGTTTGTTGGGATTCCTTTGTTTCATTGCGTTCGGGAAAAAATTTCCTGTGTTCGGTTTGTTGAAACAGAATAAAAACAGGTTTATCGAGTTAAAAATGATAGCGTATCGTGTTTTCTTTTTTTGTAAAATACTAGCTTTTACACCTGACCCTTTAAACACTGTTGTGTGCAGCAGTCAACAATTAACACTCGATAATTTGGTATAAAAGGAAATAATAAAATTTTTATTATATTTATCTACAATCTAACAAAGTTGTTTTTGCGACCCACTTTAGTCGCCTAAAGTGAAAAATGTTTAATCTGTTTAGTGAAATTTATCTATTTGCCAAAAACTTGGTGAAAATTTTTAACAGAACAATGTATAAACCTACAAAATAATTTTCGAAAGGTCTGATGTACATAATATAATAAAAAAAAGTAGCGTCGTAACTATTGAATTTTCCATTTTGCCCTTTTGTAAAGAAAGGTTGCTAATCGCTGAGCAAAACCAACGTGTACATCTCTGTAACACCATTTCACGTTTCACACGAGCTTTTCTTTCGAACTTGCACGAAATTATCGCTGACTTGAACGAAGAAAAATCAAACTCCCTCCATTTAGATTCGATCACAAGTTACAGCCACCTAAAGCGTCCCCAACCCCCGGGGACGTTCTACGCCGACGTCGACGTTTCTAATTAAATTCCGGCAGCGTGAAACGCAGGCTCGTTTCGCGGCGACGCGAACGAATTCCCGTTGAACGAAACACGAGCGAAAGATCGGCTGGCTTCTCGTGAACGTATCGACGGCGACGGCGACGACGAAGACGACGACTTTCGAACTCGCTCGAGCGTGCCACCGAAAGATTGGCCTAGATCGCGAAGGAAGGCAGAAGCTTCGGCGAGATTGGACAATTTCTCGCCGGTGAAATCGCTTTCTTCCGGTGGAAATCCAACGACGTGCGGGCGAACGGCGATAAAAGAAACAGAAGTTTGAATTTATCCGGACGGACCGCTCAAGAGCTTCGACTAATTCGTGTTAAATCGTTCCCTGGCGGTCTCGATCGTTCTGTTTGCTCTTCGATCGCCGTGTCGACTGCCCTTTTTATTATAGGTGTAACGCGACCGATAGAAGTTCAATCTTTCTCAACCGACGATTTTACCAGTGGAAATGAGATAATAATTTCTTTAACGTAACGGTACTTTTTACCGTAGATTTTCTTCTTTTTTTTTTTTATAGAAACTCTGATTGATTTCTGGTATAGTTGTTTGGGGGGAAAAAGTATTTTCGCTGGATTACGATTTCAGAGATCAACGAGAGAATCTGTAATACCGGTAATAATTACAGGATGCAGATCTAGCATCCCTTTCACGAAACAATCAACCTGATTGTTCTTCGATTTGCATTGATCATTCTGACGTGCGTCGACTGCTCTGCCTTTGATTGAATTGTTATCGACGTCCATCGCATCCACTTGGAAACTTCGTAATCGTCGGGTATCGGATACACGGGCGCACGGCTGAAAATCGAATTAGAGGCGTGGCTCGAGTTACAATACCGTGTAATTGCATTTTTTTAATTACCCTTTACATCATCCTATACTCCTTGGTCTACCTCTGGCTACAATTTCATCCCCGCGGAGCAATTATAAAAAAATATCAACTCTCCACCCGGCGGAAAAAGCTACGTTTTCAAATTCGTTTGTATTACAACTGAAATTACAATACAATCCTTCCGCTTGGTTTCTCCTTACAATCTTTACCGGAGAACACTTGTAGGAACGAACACCCTTTGGACACGTAACAAGATTCTCGCTTTATATCCACCGTGAAGCAAAACAGACTACAAACTCGCACCTTAACTTCCCAGAAACCCGGGTGATCGTTAAACGTCAGAACTTACCTCTGAGGCATCTCGTTTCACCGACACCCCATACCTATCCAACGTTCAAGCAGCTAGAAACGTCTAGAAATTTCATCCCTCCGACTCTCCGCTTAATTCTTACGCTTTCGTTTCGAATCCAATTACAAGGGGAACGCGAAAGTTAGCGTTTTACCGTAACAGACGATTCTATCGAACGGTGCCTGTAAACACATGCCCGAGTATTCGCGAAATTATCGTGGAATATTCGCGGAAGAATCGGGAAAAAGTTCCCGATAAGAGAGATGGCCGAATAATACGTCACGTTTTGCCATTGTTGTCAGGCGCAATCTTCCATGCAGGCGACGAGGAGCACATGGCTGCGTTTCTAAAGGCGGTGTACGAGGCGAGATTCGAGCACGTCGCGCCCGCATTCGAGCTTCAGCCCATCGTAAAGCAGGTAGAGGTTAATACCGACAGCTTCAAGACCGCCGCAGCCGGTTTGTATGAGTATTCAATATACATCTATAGATATATACCGTTACGAGTAATTTTCAGTTGAGCGTAGAGAGATGCTCGCGAGGCAAAATCAACACGGCCAAGAAGGATTAAAACTGCTAATGAACCAATTAACGAGAGGACAGAGAGATACGGGGAGTCTTTCTCGATCGTGAGAAACTTGGTCGTGTTCCGTTGAATTTGTAAAGGAAACGCGACACGAGAGTAGTCAATTATCCCACGGGGGCGGGAGATAGAAAGAAAAGAAAGAAGGGAGGATCCGTTTCTGTGATTTCCTCGCGATCGAGAATTACAACGGTGAACTTCTCGAATCCGATAGACGTGGATTTTCGCGTGAAATCGTTGTCGCGGGAGGAACGATTGCTGGCTGACTTCGGATAATAAAGCGTAATTGAACATCTTTGCCTCGCGACGCAACTCCGATATTTAAATGGTTCCTCTGCTTTTCGCGTCCCCTAGGCTTCGAGCAAGATTACTTTCCGCGCGATCGTGCTTCGAGTACCATTGCTTTTTATCGATGATCGAGGGACAGGGAGAACGCTGGTTAACTTTCATCTGAAATTCAGATTGTTTGACACAGTTACGTGAATAGGGGAGTGGTAGAAAAGATTGATTTTTTTTTTGTCTTCTCGGTGGAAGATAAAATTTATCGAAATACCGCGTGTACGGCTCCTGGCGGAAAAATTAGGAGTACTCAGAGTTTTCAACGTCTTTCGTGGTTTGACGATATATGGAAGTTACGAATACTGTCTTTCTGCTTTGTTAGATCAGGTTAGATTAGGTACTATTATTATATTATTATTAACATTCTTATTAGATATTATTATTATCATAACCAAACACCTTTATAATTACAAACCATAACGCCAAGCAACCGCCACGGGTAGGAAGGGAGCAAAGTCGGGAAAAACCTATGAAGCGACGCTCGACTCCAGCAAGGTGCCAAAACTAGTATAAAACCGACGTACCCGCACAAGGTCGACAGATAGTGTAAAATCATACACCTAGAACGACACCCGTTCGAACTAAACATTTAATAAAACAGCATCAAACACATTTCTGGAATTTTACGCCTTTAACCAACCCGAAACGAAGGCGATCTCAACCGTTACGGCCCGTTCCGTAAGATCAGTCTGCCAGACCAGTCGAAATTAAAGAAAATCAAAATTCAAATTCAAAATTAAAGGTATGAATGCAATTGACAATGTCTGGAGAGTACTTAAAGCGCTTGTAAATACATACAAAGGTGGTCTAAAGAAAAATCAAAGCAAAGGGGGGAAACAAATATTATTAATATGCAATTACGTTCGAGCCTTTAAATTTGACTGAAAATACGAAGGACGTAGAAGACCCTAATTTTTCGGGCCACGGGCTGTATATGTGCAATCTCGACTGTGTTCTGTAGTTGCCACAGGTCGAGATTTCGTCGTATAACAGCTTACGTGGCCGTCTTCGTCCCACAGCCAATCTCGAGGACGCTTCGTTTGCGCACTTAGCACGATGCAATTTGCCGAACTGGCAAACTGGGGGTAACAGGCTTTAACGTTGCAGCCTGCGAGCTCATGGACGAGGGTGTGGCGGCAATCTTCGGCCCTTCGAGTCCGTACACTCATGGAATTGTCGCGAGCATCGCAGCGCGTTTCGACGTACCGCACATCGACTACTTCTGGCGGCAGAACGAGGAGGTGCAGGCGAACCAGGAGCCCAAGAACCCGAAACCGATGACCATTAACGTGTTTCCTGACAGCGACACGGTTTCCAAGGTAAGCCAAGATTGGATTGTCCTCTTGAAAGTAAGCTGGAACCTTTAATTATTTGCTTTCCTATGTAGAATCGCGGTTTTAGTCGAGATATTTACCTGAGACTTGTTTGTACAGAGTAAAAATTAGGTGTACAAATGAGCAATTCGCTCTTCGTCGTTTGTTACTGACATGAATTATTTTTTCACGCTAATTTCTCGTCTAATTTCTATTTTCCACTATTTGGAGCCAATATGCATGTACCTGTTTCCATAGCAAATCATTGCTTCGGGGTGGAAAAGTTGCAGATAAAAGCTCTGCCTGCAAATTTCTTCAAGTATAAGTCCATCTTTGATTAAATCCTCCAGTTCCATCGCTCTTTTTCCACAACTATAAAACACCATACCTTTCCACTATCTTCATCGACCAAAAATTGACAGAATTCCCATCGAATCTCCCCCATTTCTCTCTTCACTCTCAAATTAACCAAAGCCTCCAATTTCATCGCTCTGTTCCCGCAATTACGAAACACCATACCCTTCCACAATCCACATCGACCAAAATTCGGCAAAATTCCCACCAAATGGAATCAAGAAAAGAACACGATCTTCGTTTCTCTCATCGCTCCTCTCCGCTCTCAAATCTCGAGCAACCAACTGTAAAGTGGCGTCGCATGAACTTCCGTCACTAATTAAACATCGCGAACGTAACTGCACATTGGCAAATATTTATGCACCGTATCGTCGTGGTGGTGGAATTAATTACACCGAGCTAATTGATCGTCGACGCGCGAACACACCTGTGTATGCCTACACGTGGACGCGACACTTTTACTCGCGGCGCGAAAGTCGAGCACAGGCGCGAAAGAACCCAACGAAGAGGTTGTTGAAGGAGAAAGAAGAAGTAGGAGAGTAGACGTCGGGTAATGCGACGGTGGCTGTGCAATGGCTGGCGTTCCGATGCATTTTAAATTACTCGTTTAACGAGGCAAATCGAGCGGGGCTTGAAGTAGCAGGCGCATTAAACCGGCTAGTCGCGGCTAATGAGCGCGATCAAAGACCGAACTTGGGCTAACGACGCCGGATCAGTTTTTATTCTACTGGCCTTTTTAACGGACGGCCACGGGGGAAACAAACGAAATACGCTGATACGAATCGAACGGTGCCTCGGTTAAGTCTAATTAAAATCGTCGACGAATCGAGCACTGCCGGGTGTAAAGAATTATTCCTCGTTTCCGACCTTTATCGTCGCGATTAAAACTTTCGTTGCGTCCGTGTATGTTCTGTATGTGTGAGGTCCGTAAAATTTTTTATGGTAATTGGAACGACCGATGTGTTTTGGCCATTCGATCCAGAAATATGATTGCGAAAATATGACCGAGGCTTTACGACGAACGTGAATTAAGCAGGAACAAAGGCTAGGGGAAGAAACGGTTATACGAGGATATAAAGGAAATGCGGTTGGTATTGGACGTATAAAGTGTGGAAGGGAGGAAAAACGGGGCAATTAATGCTATCGTCGATCCGTTAAAGGGACTTTCGATGCTCGTTAAAAATGACATTCTGATTAGAATAGTAACACTGGGTTTACGGGACGCGCCATTTTGACGCATTTCGAATTTCACGAGGAACATTGCAGAAACCGTTTACATTTCTTTCCTACCACATATGCTTGTTATAAATTTTATATTAATATATGATATCACATAGTTTCATTTATAAGTTAATAGTGTATATGTTGTTTTTTAAAGAAAATCTGCGCTTTCGTTCACGCGTCAATTTGACACACGTAATCCTATTGTTAAAATGAAGAGCGCCTAAGCTGTATCACTGAAAGAAAAAAGATTTACCAAAAAATTCCAGTGTAATTCAGTTATCCTTACAAGAATGGCTGCACACGTTCCAGCCAGCTATGAATTATTATAATACTCTTTCGGGATGAAACACGTTCAAACGTTATACGTTGTTGTTGTTTTGAATTTACCGGCATCGACTGCTGTTGGTCATTAGCCGGGGACCTACTGTTTACGGTGGGTTCCGAACCACCGACGTTATACGTAATTTGTGCTTGACAATATTTTATTATACGAATTGCAATTGTAAATCAAAATTGCCTCAACGTGTAGTCAATATTATGTCACACGATATTACTGCGGTATTATTATCGTTGTTATTATCAGTATTATCGTTATATACGTACTCGAAACGCCGGAAACAATTAAAACCGCGAATTTGACATTTTTTTCGGGGGAATATCAAACGTGTCATTTCGACCGCGAAAATTCGAACGTTCAATACGCGACAATTTGCACGCTCGTCCTCTTTTCGACTCCTGTTCTTCCCGTCTGCTCCCGATCCGCGGTTTTATCAAAAAATTCTTTCGCACCGCCCGCGACACTACGTAAAAATATTTCAATATTCCCTCGCATCCTAGTCTCGCTTTCGTGTCACTTGTTATTTTCACGCGATCCTCCCTCTCCGTACTTTCCCCCCTTTTTTTTCATTCACGTTGCCGATGCACGCGAAGAAAACGCGAGAATTTTCTCCCTGTATCGGAGAATTTTCTCCCTGTATCGTCAGTTTCGACCGATTCACCCGACGAACACCGGACACAATTTTTCCCAAATGAAAATCAGTCTCGAAAATCCTACGTTCGCCTGTTCCGGGAGAAAAGACGATTTATTTTACCAATTCGAGCGCGAATATCGCGGCACGAAACGAATCATTTCACGCGTAAGATTCACGGTTTAGTTGCCAATTAACCCGGGGCAACGCTATATCGAGAGGTGTATAAATAAAATATTGTCGTGCAATACGCGATAAAGACATTTATCAATTGCGGTAATGATATTTTCATTTTCCCCTTGTTTATTCGCGGGAACGGCGTTTCGCGCGAATTCATCGCGTTCCCAGTTGTAAAAACCTGAATAACCCTGGGGTGTGTTTAAACGTTCGGAGTGTAACGCGTTTAAGGACGTTATAACGTGGTTCGATGATGTTTGCCGTTGAAATAACCGACGTAAAATAGGGAACATCTGGTGCAGGACGAGTAACGAGATAACCGCAGTGCTTTAGAACCGATTACCCAGGTTTCTTCGATCTTTTTTACACAGGTTCTCCCTTATGATAACTCGGCGATAGAATCAACCTGTATGTATCTCACTTTATACGTGCTATTCCAAACGTGGAGCAGAGATCAGAAGCGAAATCGCGGGGGAAACTGTTTCACGTCTCAATTACGCGGCTCCGAATGATATACGAACTTACCGGCCGAAGCTTTTTCTCATCTCGAACCGAGACGGTAATTAAGGCACCGCGGTTTAATGGTAATTAGAATACAAGGTTAAAATTACTCGAAGCTCTCGCGACACTTGGATGTTCAGGGTGCAATTACATTTGAGCTTTTCTATTTCTCGTATTATATTCCGTATGTGAATCTGCGGGTAGAGAAAACACAGAGAACGACATCCAGTTCTTCTTTTCCTATTTTCCTAAAACACGCCCGGCTTCTTTAGTAGAAAGAATAAATGTAAATGAGCATTGCTCCTGGTGCAGTTATAGTCGGTCGCTTTTATTATTGCGTTTGCGTTACTTGAAAATTCTATTGTGCGAAGATCTAGCTTCAGTTAACGCCGTTTTGGATAAAACGAAGAGGTGAGGTTGTTTTATGAATATTGAAATTACATCGGACTTACCTCATTTTTGACCCCAATTATGCATTACAATATTGCATTTGGTGTACTTAATACTACTACATTTATGTACACTCGCTTGAAAATTATATTACGAAGAGATCTAGCTCCAATTAACCCTTTCTTGGTTAAAAAAAGGGAAGTTACAAAGTTGTTTGTATAAATACTAAGACGACGTCGCACTTACCTCGTTCCAAACTTCAATTATGCAAGATAATTGTAAAAAAAAAACTGTCCTGGGAATAACATTGTAACTATGTAGATCCTAACGACTCTCCGTTCAACTTCAACAATGTCGCATTACCGCAATCGTTAATAGCGTAACGAGAAAGGAGTTTCGAAATGAAGTTCGTTAAAGATAAGACACCGAAGCCGAAACTGAAGTCGAGAATGGTTCGTTTCACGAATGAAAAGCACGGGAAATTTTTGTACCCAGGCGATCGCAGACGTGGTCGAGTCCATGAAGTGGACCACTTTCGCGGCTATCTACCAAAACGACGACGGCCTGTCGCGGCTCCAAAAAGCGCTGTCTCTTAGGCGAAAGAAGGACAGCATAATCACGATAAGAAGGCTCAGCGAAGGGATGGATTATCGGCCAATCCTGAAGGAGATTCGCGCTCTATCCATCTGCAACTTGATCGTGGACGTTGAGCCGAATAACATCGTCGAAGTGCTCTATCAAGCGAAGGAGGTCAAGCTGCTAGCGGACTACTGTAATTTCTTAATTACTTACCTGGTATTACGCCACATTCTACTTTATATGCGTAGATTTTGTCCGGGGAACTTGCAACCATTCCCCCTCTTTACGACCGACCAGGTTCTGTTAATCTTCGCGCGAATTCATCGCGTTCCCAGTTGTAAAAACCTGAATAACCCTGGGGTGTGTTTAAACGTTCGGAGTGTAACGCGTTTAAGGACGTTATAACGTGGTTCGATGATGTTTGCCGTTGAAATAACCGACGTAAAATAGGGAACATCTGGTGCAGGACGAGTAACGAGATAACCGCAGTGCTTTAGAACCGATTACCCAGGTTTCTTCGATCTTTTTTACACAGGTTCTCCCTTATGATAACTCGGCGATAGAATCAACCTGTATGTATCTCACTTTATACGTGCTATTCCAAACGTGGAGCAGAGATCAGAAGCGAAATCGCGGGGGAAACTGTTTCACGTCTCAATTACGCGGCTCCGAATGATATACGAACTTACCGGCCGAAGCTTTTTCTCATCTCGAACCGAGACGGTAATTAAGGCACCGCGGTTTAATGGTAATTAGAATACAAGGTTAAAATTACTCGAAGCTCTCGCGACACTTGGATGTTCAGGGTGCAATTACATTTGAGCTTTTCTATTTCTCGTATTATATTCCGTATGTGAATCTGCGGGTAGAGAAAACACAGAGAACGACATCCAGTTCTTCTTTTCCTATTTTCCTAAAACACGCCCGGCTTCTTTAGTAGAAAGAATAAATGTAAATGAGCATTGCTCCTGGTGCAGTTATAGTCGGTCGCTTTTATTATTGCGTTTGCGTTACTTGAAAATTCTATTGTGCGAAGATCTAGCTTCAGTTAACGCCGTTTTGGGTAAAACGAAGAGGTGAGGTTGTTTTATGAATATTGAAATTACATCGGACTTACCTCATTTTTGACCCCAATTATGCATTACAATATTGCATTTGGTGTACTTAATACTACTACATTTATGTACACTCGCTTGAAAATTATATTACGAAGAGATCTAGCTCCAATTAACCCTTTCTTGGTTAAAAAAAGGGAAGTTACAAAGTTGTTTGTATAAATACTAAGACGACGTCGCACTTACCTCGTTCCAAACTTCAATTATGCAAGATAATTGTAAAAAAAAAACTGTCCTGGGAATAACATTGTAACTATGTAGATCCTAACGACTCTCCGTTCAACTTCAACAATGTCGCATTACCGCAATCGTTAATAGCGTAACGAGAAAGGAGTTTCGAAATGAAGTTCGTTAAAGATAAGACACCGAAGCCGAAACTGAAGTCGAGAATGGTTCGTTTCACGAATGAAAAGCACGGGAAATTTTTGTACCCAGGCGATCGCAGACGTGGTCGAGTCCATGAAGTGGACCACTTTCGCGGCTATCTACCAAAACGACGACGGCCTGTCGCGGCTCCAAAAAGCGCTGTCTCTTAGGCGAAAGAAGGACAGCATAATCACGATAAGAAGGCTCAGCGAAGGGATGGATTATCGGCCAATCCTGAAGGAGATTCGCGCTCTATCCATCTGCAACTTGATCGTGGACGTTGAGCCGAATAACATCGTCGAAGTGCTCTATCAAGCGAAGGAGGTCAAGCTGCTAGCGGACTACTGTAATTTCTTAATTACTTACCTGGTATTACGCCACATTCTACTTTATATGCGTAGATTTTGTCCGGGGAACTTGCAACCATTCCCCCTCTTTACGACCGACCAGGTTCTGTTAATCGAGGAAGGTAGCTGCGTGGCGTTAATTAGTCCTTTCGTGAATGAAATTTGGACAGAGGTTTCGTTCCAAAGTTATTTCATTTTTTTTTTCTAGACCATGTCTCCATTTTTTTTTTAAATTTGATAATTCATTTAGCGATAAAAGATGTCGCGAATGAATGTCAGATGAAAGATGTCTTATGAATGTTGAAGTTAGTGGTGACACCGGATGTTTTTTTCTGTGGTTGCAAGTTTATTTTTCGAGAAGTTGTAGAATGTAAAAAAAAGAGGGTTTCGAACGATACGAACGCAAAGGCACTTTGCGTTTATCCTTTTACAAGCGCAACGAACTCAAAATTGATTTTGCACGTCTGGTGGATTGGTTTTTCTCAAAAAAAAAGAAAAAAAAAAAGAGGGACGAAGTTATTTCGGGAAATTCACCTGTTCACGTTTAACGTACATTCTCTGCTGGAGGTAATAAAGCTCAGACAACAGAGAGATATTTATGAGATTGAACGTCGAGACTAAGTGAACATACTTGCAGAAGTAGACCTCGCAACACCGGTACAACTTTTCCACATAATTCTGCAAAAGCAGTAATACGTTAAATTTATTGAACACGCCTCTGCGACTTAGTATAGGAGTTAGAAACTTCACGTGAAAGTCTAAACATGCCTTAGAACGAACTTACTCAATATCCAAAAGCTGCGATCGTGTTCAACTACTTCGACTTGTCTTCCAAACAATTCGATAAAAAGAAACTCGTATCGCATTCTTTAAATTTCCACTTTTCAACTGTTACCGCATTCGATCGATTATGTACTAAAAAGCTAAAATTACTTTCACTGGTCTTCCAGAAAATTTACTAAAGAATCTCACGTCAAATTTCCAAAATTCCCACTTTTCAGCTCTTACGACATTCACTCGTTAACTATCTTCTAAAGAGCTAAAATCATTTTCTCCAATTACTTCCATTGGCCTTCCAGAAACATTCACCGAAGAATCTCACATCAAATTTCCGAAATTCCCACTGTTCAGCTGTTTTCGTTCCCTCGTTCATTCGTCAACCGTCCAAACCTTCGATGGTTCCGCGAAACTCTCGCTTCCCGCCAGAAATCGTCGCGCTTAAAAATGTTCTCGTCACCGGTGGACAGCCAGCAGAGGTAACCGGGTTTTCCTGGCGGTTGCTTTTCCAAGAGAATTTCATTAATAAATCCGCGGAACGCATCGCGGTCACGTTCACCCCCGGCGTAGTAACTGCATTAGCCGGGTTACAATTGCCGGGCTTTTTATTAAACGGTCCCATAAATTGCTGCGAGTAATTGTTTTCAACGATACGCCGGTAATGGCGTGCCACCTGAACATTCCTTCGCCTCGCCACCGCCCCCGGAATCCGCTTTTTATGACGCATTACCAGCGAGCACGTAACAATACCTCCATAAATAACGACGTTCGCGACGCGTCCAGGGATTTCGCGCGAGGCGTATCGTTCCTTCTCCTTTTTTCCCCCCTTCACCTTTCCTTCTTCTTAGTCTTTTCTTTTTTTGTTTCAAAGCGGAACAACGCTCGACGTCCTTCGAGCGACACGTAGAGGGAACCGTCTCTCCTCCTCTTTGTCCGCGTCGTGACGCGCGTGTTGTACGCGAAGACAATGCGAGGTTTCAGTGAAAGTTGCGAACTCGCGCGATTTACGGGTGAGTTCGAGTGGAAAAAAGGGAGGAAGGACGTTGCGTTTCGAAACGGTGGAAAATGTTGCGCGACGAACGTGGGGGTTGTGTTCGTGTTCTTAGGGTGCTATTTTCGCAGGATGATTTATGGGGGCCAGAGTATCTCTCAGTCGGTGGAAGTTTTTAGATGGTGGGATGGTTCGTTTCTTTTAGCTGTGATTGTCGGGATTTTGGGGGTGCCGCGTGACGAGATTGAGAGATTATCTCGATTTGTCACGGTGTAAGGTGATGTTGAGAATTCTTCTTGCCGTTCTTGGGAGTTTATAGTGTCCCTGTTTGGTAGCTGTGATTCAAGACACTCTTTTACTTGTGTACCTTTATTACAAATTCCCTAGGATTACAAATCAGCGGAGAATAATTGTTCACCCCTTGGTTTATCATTTTTTTTTTTTTTTACAGCTGTTAATTGGACGAGAAAAGTTCAACTACTAGCTCTGTGCAAGAAGAAAAATATATTTTCTTCTGTTCCAAGTACTTCTCTTGATACTTGAAGGAGGACACTTTTTTCTTTGCACGATCTGGTATTATATTTAAAGTTCACCCTTTGGTTTATAATTTTCTTTCACAGCTATTAACTGTTTTGACACTGTGACGGACGAGAAAAATTCAACTACTAGCTCTCCACAAGGGCAAAACATTTTGTTTCTTATTTTTATCCCAAGTACTTCCCTCGATACTTGAAAAATTGTGCTTTGGAACCCTTCGTTTCTATTTTATCATCAAACAAGAGACCAACCACAGAACCAATTCACTATCGCCTCATTCGAAAACACTAAAAAGACTTCCGCGTCAGCTCGACCAAACCAAATTTCAAGAGAAAACTACCTGTCGAAGAAGCAAACAAAATTCCCTTTCGCCTCTTAAATCGTCGCGTTATAACGTCAATCTGAAGAAGAACCTCTTTGATCGCGGGCGACATTTCGGCGGATGTTGTTCGAACGCCCCTCTCCGTCGTTTGCAAATAACGAAATTCGTCTGTGTACACACGTGGCGAAAGGGCAGGAGGGAAAAGAGGCGGGGTGCCGTGTCGTATGAATTCGTGAGAAATTTCACGATGCATCTATATTTGTCCGGACTGTCGAGAAATTCGTGGAAGGCGTCTGGTTGAACCGACTCGAGACACGGGGTGGACCCACGTCAACGTCATCGTTCCTTCCTACAGCCCTGATGCCGCCATTTCGATAACCCTGAACGTCTCTCCTCGCCCTCCACGAGGTCGACCTTTCCGAATCAGCAAATATGTCGTAATTACAGTTCGAGTGGAAATACACGGTACCCGGAAAATGTAGTTAGGTAACGACATGTTTGTCCCATGTCAGATCTGACTTGATGGATTTCAACCGATAGTTTCACTTCCAACGTGTGTAATTCTCAACTGTTTAAAATTGCCGATTCGAGGTTATAGAAAGATTGGCTCGGTAACTTTAACGGCTTCGTAGTTGGAGATTGCTTTGAGGACGGTAACAGGAGGCGCACAATTAGTCGCTGAAAGTTTATTGCACTTCGTAACAAGATGATATAACGTGATACACACACTACCGGCCAAATCTTTGGAATCACATGCATTGCGAGTTGCACCAAAATTCTTAAAAAAAAAAGTTGGCATTTATAATAATCTTTTAACGAATCTTCTATCGTTCAAATCAATCGAAACGAGATAAAGTGCTATTGATCTCCACATCAATTTCAAATCAATGAAGAATTAGTAGCGAATATTGATGTAAATTGGCAGATGATTCCAAAGTTTTTGCCGGTGGTGTAGTTGGTTGGCGAGGGGAATGTATGGATCTTGAACTTCTGTCCTGGTTTTTAACGGTGTATTCATTTTTCGAAGTTTTGTAGAGTTGAATAGAGACTTTTCTTGTACGCTGCTTTCTTTTCATTTTAATTTTTAAATTTGTTTTTAACTTTTAATTTCAAGCTATCCTATCTACCAATTTTTCACTTTTCAGAGTATTTTGAAATACTCAGAGCCTCAAGTTTTCTTTACTTTTCGAGCAAAGTTAGAATGCCCTTCGTGGGGCTTTAGAATCCAATTTTCATCACTTTTCTTCAATATCCAAAACTGTTAATTAAGAAAATTATTCCGAAGAAGGGCTGCTACTTCCTATTTCAATCTCCAGATTCAATTACCGCAATACCAAAGCAATCTAACAGAAACTTTTCGAAGATTGAAGTCCAGAACTGAAAAAACGCCCGAAAGACGTGCAATTTCCTGACGTTTCGTGCAAAAATGATTCGAGGAAAAGCAGTCGGTCAACAAAAGATCACTTGCGCGCACTTCCGCGTTCCGTCTGGCCTCCGTTTGCAGATACACTTCTTATCGTTAGCGCGGAGTTTCGAAGTTATTTCCCGCTTGTTGCACCGAGACAACGGGGAAGCAAGGCGAACGACCCTTCAAACGCTCGTCCGCTTAAGATTCCAAGTTTCACGGCTGCCGGCGCGGAGGTTGCTGCTCGTCGAATAGGGTCGACCCCGTTCAGACTCGCATACATACAGTGACGAATCGCTTTTTCGGAGGCCAGCGTGGATTCGAAGAAGCGTCGCAAATAGATGACGCACAGTTGGAAAGCTTCGCTTGGATCTTGAGCCAGGTAGAATTGGACCGCGACCGATGATCGATAATTTTTCGAATTATTCCCGATAAGTTCGAACGAACGGCTAGCGGTGAATTTTCGACTTCGTTTAACGTGAATTAACGTGCAGATAGGTGGAATTATTTGCTCTGATTTCCTTTGATTCAGGTGTACGGGAATAAATTTTAGTCTCGAAGTTTATAATCTCTTTTTGTAGTTCAGACGATATAAAAAAAATTTTTTTTAGATCTACCATATACCAAAGTTTGATCAAAATCGACGATCATCACTTTGGGGCGTTTCTTTTTTGTTTATCTCTTATTGTAAATATAGTTTCTTTTAACAGAAATTTTTGCACGAATCACAGGACTCGACGAAAGTGCCAATTTCAGATGTGCGAAATGGAACCACGACTAATATCACTGGATTCAGCTTGCGGGAGAACGACGTGGAAGGAACTAATTGGGTAAGTACAAAAAATTTACCCTCTATCCGAACTTTTTCTCGTACTTCTAAGCAATTTAGTTTTCAGAAAAAATTCACTCTAGCGATTTTCTTATCTGACTGTTTCCTTCGTAATTGGGCGCAGCTGACGTCGATGTTTTTGCTATTCAATTTTAGTATTTCAATTCGAGCGAGTGTTGAGCGTGATGAACGTTGAGTGTAAGATGATTTCTGAGAACTGACATCTTCTGTGCGTTAAACAGCTTTGAACCTGGCTTCTAAATATGTTTCTCCGACATGGTAGAATCTTATGGCTCAGCTAGCAATTACTACATACTTCTATGAATGAATTAATAAGCAATCCTCCTAAAGACTTCTACTTCAAGAAAATCATCTCAGAATACATAACAAAATCGAATATAATTTATCATGTTATTCGTAAAATGAAAATTTTATCAGAAACTAGAAAAAACATTAATTAATTCACCAACAACGCTCACATTTTTCTCAACTTGACGTGCCACAAAAATGATCAATTTTATTTTCTACTAAATTTTATGTTTCCCATTTATTTGCAACGCTGTGACCTACATTCTCGCTGTAAAATAGAAATGATAGCTCAACATGAAGAGTGAAAAAAAATAATTTTTAAAAGTTACACTTTTTCGAGTATTAGTTAACGAGCCATTAAGGCCTCGAGATGAACCCCTAATTTTTTCCCAAATGAAAAATCCCTCTGAAATACTTGAGGGAACAGTTTCACACATGATCAGTACCTTTCCATCGCGACCTTTTTAAAATCATCGAAGCATCGTCTGGCGGGAGAGTTGACCGAACGCCAAAATTTCAGATAATTACTTCATTAACCCCGCGGGATAATGGAGCACCGGTAGATGCTCCGTTTCGAGGGTGCAACACAAGGGTCGAGGACCGTTTGCCGTAAAATCTACCCGCGACACAGTACTTACGAGCAGCTGACGGGCTGCCTTAATTTTCGTTTCATTAGCCCGCCGCCGATTCGCTTTGTATCGCGTATAGAGAGCCCGTGGTACACGCGAGCAATATCGTTACGTTTCCCTCTCTCTTCCTGTATGCAAAACCCCCTTCTGCAACGATTAAGCGTGTTGTTTTATAATTTCGCCAGATTGGACGGTTTAATGTTTCATTTCTCGTTACAATGGTACGCTCTAAGTGTAAGCGTGCCGCCTCGTTTCTCGAGGCATTGTTGAACTACAACGTTACAGTGTATAATACCGCTGTGGTTCTTCTTTTTTCTTTTTTTTTTGTCGGTGTTGCAAGACGTTCACCTTTTGTTCTCGCTGTTTCAAGAAATTAGACGTAACCGTTGCTCCTTGGTGATTATTTTAAATTACGAGTTGCAAGTTGCGTTATTCTTGCACTCTGAATTAGCAAACCACTGCGCCATGGTTGGTGTAATTTTTTTTAACAGTGACTTCTTTCTTCAAATTACTCAAGTATCGAGGTTTCGTTAATTACGAAAAATAAAGGATAATTAAAAAGAACCGCGAGTGCTTTCAATGAAAAAAGTTCTGTCGCTCTCCTTCTTTGATTATTTTAATTAAAAATTGTAGCCTCCTATCGAGGATTCACGGTGAAATAGCTGAACAGATGGTGAATTAAACGTAAATCTGAATATTCGTCAATTTTCATTTCGCCAAGGTGGAATCGGCTGTTCTCTACGATTCCGTCTTCCTCGTGTACAACGCGTTGGAGGCCTTGAACGCAAGGAACAAGGACAGCAAGGAGCCTGTAACTATTGACCCGGTACCGCTCTCTTGTGAAGATGCAGAGAAATACAGCGCAGGTCCCAACATTACCAACCTGATGCGCGAGGTAAAGGCCTCGTCTACTCTTCTCGCCACTTAAATCCCGCGAACTTTCCAATTCCTCGAATTAAACGCGCCTAAAGTTACCAGCTACGTTCGATCTTTGTCGAAAAATCAAATTTTCACAATCGTTCCGAACACCTGCTAACACTTCACACAGAAAAGACACAATAATCACTCTTTAACGAAGGATCGAATTTAATTGAACGTGAGCCTGATCCTTTAGCTGTCGAAAGAAGGAAAAATCACAGGACCGATGATGTTCGACGAGAACGGCCGTCGTTTCTACTCGAAAATACGAATCATGGACGTGAGAGCGGGGGAGAGTGTTCAAACTGGATACTGGGATCCCGACGGTCTTCATTCGATCGACAGTGAAAAGGAACGAAAGGATTATCTGTACAAATCCATCGAACAGAAGAAGTTCAAGATTAGCACTAAACTGGTACGTGTTCTGTCAAGCTTGCGTTGGAATTAGTAGAATCTCGGTGTATATCGTCTGTTTGACTGAATTCATTCCGATGACAATGTAGCCGATTGGTCAAGGTATCGTTAGAGGCTTGACGAACCTGGCTACTGTTGTTGTTGACAAATCGTCAGTAACAAGTAGGATCTAGGGAGGCGGATGTAGAATTTCTGAAGGAGTTGATTTCTGTCGAGACTAAGTGAATAATCAGTGTTAACAATTAGCGTGAAATAACGGTGATTCGTCAGGGTCCACCGTACATAATGGAGGTAACGGACAGCGCAACTCGAGGTATAGCTATCGAGCAAACGCGGTACGAGGGCTTCTGCATCGATCTCATCGAGGAGATTGCCAAGCTGTTGAATTTTAAATACGAGTTCGAGTTAGTGCCCGACGGGAATTATGGCACGTACAACAAAGAGACGAAACAGTGGAACGGCTTGATCAGACGTTTGCTGGATCGGGTAGGTAACAATTTTTCGAGCGACTTGTGTTTAATTGGAGAGCGTGTAGAATTAAAATTTCAATTAAAAATGAAACTCTACAAATGGGAGAATTAAAAATTGATTCGTTAACGTATGCATGATTTTTCCCTGCATATTTTTTTTTTTTTTTTTATCAGGATCAAAGATAGGACATTCATACTGGATATGCTTTTTTCGTAAAATTCGCTCGTGTTATTATTGATGAAATTTTAAAGAGCGATCGTAGCGATGGAGAAATGGATGTGAGGGAAGTTATGCGTTGAGAATTTGTTTCAGGATGCAGATTTAGCTATTTGCGATCTTACAATTACGTACGAGCGGGAAAGCGCGGTAGATTTTACGATGCCGTTCATGAATCTAGGTACGCCGTCTGAAATTCCTTATCGCGTCCAATTTTCACGGTAAATCTCGTGACACTGCTATTTCATCCGGTGTGTCCAAGTCAGGTATCAGCATTTTATCGAGAAAACCGGAGGAGAAGGAGCCGGATCTGTTCTCGTTTCTGTCACCGCTGTCAACAGACGTCTGGATTTACATGGCGACTGCTTTCTTAGCAGTTTCGATAATGCTCTTTCTGCAGGCTAGGTAAGATTTCATGGGAAATATTAAGAAACCTGGATGTCCCTATCGAGCTAGCTTTTCTTCTTAAAAATAGCTGAACGTTCGAATTCAGAAAATTCTTAGGAATATATTGTTTTATTTAATGAATTCTTTCCGACAGGATTCGCATAATTGATTCAAAGCCGCCGAGTTTCTATCGCGGCGGTATTCGCAGGCTGCCAGAAAAATGGCGAAAGGTGATGAATAATAACGGAAATTATTTCGACGACCGATCTCTTTTCGATTAGATTTCCAAAAATCGGAAAAAATTCATTTCCACACTTAATGTATATAATTTTACTTTATCTGTAATTGTTTTAAAGATACATCTTCGCTCAGTTGCTTTGAGAGATTCTGAATGATAAAATTAGATTGGTGTAATACGAAGGAGTGTAATACGCATTGTAATACGCATATTTTTCAGAATGGCGCCGGAAGAATGGGACAATCCGCATCCCTGCAATCCAGACCCGGAGGAATTGGAAAATAATTTCAACCTGAGTAACTCCATGTGGCTCACTGTCGGCTCTATCATGCAACAGGGCTCCGATATACTTCCCAAGTAAGTCCGAACCGGTAAACTTAACAAAGCACCTATGCCACCGCAGCCCACCTTACGTGCATGCAAAGCCGCGCAATAATCGCGAGACAGAAACCGCAACACCACCACAAAGAGATGCAACCGCGTCCCAATTACACGCGTGAGTTCCTTGGCTACTTTATGAATACTTAATCAACGTACCGTAAATTTTTGAAAAATCAGCATTTGCCCAATCTCTCCAGGTTGATTTTTCCGAGTAATTTAGATAAAAGTCGAGTTACTAATCTAATATTTTAAGTAGAATGTGACAGTTGTACACAGACGAAGAGGAAAAAAAGAAGAAGGAATATTCCTGAAATGCGAAATATATTTAATAAAACTCACCGTCACAAAAGAGTGACATGCTGACAAAAATCTCCACGCTACTCGCCTAATTATTAAATCAGCGTTTTATTCGTCTTCCGGGCGTTCTTCCCTGTGTGAAGGATTTCGCCGCGTTGAAAAGGAATAAAAATCCTGTCGGCTCACGATCTCATTATCCTGCTTAAGGAAATAAAATATTGCGGATCGTTTGTAGGAAAGCCTACAGAGAGACGGTGCCAAAAGCAGACGCGGCGCTTTTTTTCTCCCACCCCTCCTCCGCATGGTTCCCGTGTCCCCGGCGAGATCCTCCTTTTTTCACGACAATTAAGCTTAACGAGCCGCTGTTTGCCGGACATATTTGAGGCGGCTTCCCACTTATTAGCGCCGGCACGGCGCTAACTCTCCGCTCGTAACATCGCGCGTGTTTGCTTGCTACATACTGACGACAAACCGACTAAAGACGGCGACGGCTAACAACGGTTGTGTAGCCCTCCTAACTACTTCGTAGCCACTTTCTTATGCTGCCTGGACGTGGCGTAGATCGCCGTGATTTGCATGTAAGTAATATTTCGGTCCATGCTTGCTGTAGCTCGGTCTTGCGGCGGACAACGACGCGCGGATGAAATTCTTCACGGTTTTAATTATCGGTGACGTTTATTTAGGTGGTTGTCTGTTGTAATGTAGAGGAATTATTTTTGAAATTGCTTTACAGCAACTTTTTGTGTACAAAGTGCGTGAGAAGAGGTGATTCTTCGTGCCAGGATAAATCGAAATTGTAGAATAAGTTACTTTCGGATGAAACTTTGTTTTCCAAAAGAACTTCATTTGCTATCGTATATTGGCAAAAATTGATAGGAAGCAAACTGAACTTCGTGCCTCGATTTTTCACGCACCCTCTATTTTTTCTCCCCCTCGGTGTTGATATATCCGCCAAGAGGAAGACCAAAAGCTACAATTTTTCTCCAACAGTTACGTTTCTATAGAAGACAATTTTCATCTTTGTTAATTCAATAAACGTCGATCTGTTGGAAAATCGAGTCACGAACCTCGTGGTAAAAATTACGTTTAAAAATTCCGGGTAAAATGTAGGATCGTTGCATCGTTTTATCGATTTCGCGCGGCGGCAATTTAATCGCGATTCATTTGTCGTCGTAGGACACGGTTCGCGAGGAAACAATGTCCTTTGTCTCTGTTTACCCGGCGTCCTGTGCAAGCTCGTGCACGCGCGCTATGCTCGGCAAACAGGCGTCATTTGCATACGCGACCCTTTAGCTCGCGCTTAATTAGGAAAACGCGATGCACGCTGTCTCCGTCTCCGGCTTTTGCGCCTCGGAGTATCGCGTCGAGATGCTCCCATCCACTCGTCTCGAGCACCGGACGATTTACCGTGGCGTCGTAGAGCACGATTGGGTAATCTGTACGCAGATTTCACGCTTTCGACGAAACTTCCTACTGTGCGTCTTTAAGAGGAAATAACGCGACTCGTGCCACGAGCGAACGTGGCAATTTGTTCGAGGGAACGTGCAGTTGAAGCTGTTTGAAGATTTCGGATGTGTGCTTTTCACCGTGTATTCGTTAGCGAAACTATTTTTTTTTTTTTTAAGGTCTGCGATGGTTTAAAATAGCGAATAACGTTTTACGTGAGTTTTGGGAAATACGGAGACCAGTTCTCTCTGTGCCCTCAAACAGCGCGCAATTTGAACACTAAAAATCCCAAGGGAGGGTAAAAAATGATCCACAAAATAAAAAATTTAAATTTTGTATCACAAATGCAACAACTCTGAATTACACATTATGTTTATTTTTGTGAACTGAAATTGAATGAAAATTAATTGAAATTAAATTAAATTAAAATTTGAAATTGAACCTTCGTGTCAGCTTCACAATACTGGAAGAAATATCTTCTGCCTTCTGCACTTAGGGCACCTTCGATTCGAATGGTGGCCGGCATGTGGTGGTTCTTCACGTTGATCATGGTTTCCTCGTACACCGCCAACTTGGCTGCCTTCCTGACAGTCGACAAGATGGACAATCCAATTAAAGGTGTAGAAGATCTCGCTAAACAGACGAAAATCAAGTACGGAGCTGTTCTCGGTGGATCCACCTCTGCTTTCTTCAGAGTAAATTACGATATTCCGACACCGTTTTCAACGCCCATTCTATCTCTCGTTCGATGACAATATCATTCACATCGCAGGATTCCAATTACTCCACTTATCAACGTATGTGGGCCACGATGATGGAAACTAGACCAAGTGTATTCACGAAAACGAACGACGAAGGTGTCGAACGTGTACTGAAAAAACGTGATTACGCTTTTCTCATGGAATCCACTACGATCGAGTACAGAATGGAGAGAAACTGTGATCTCGATAAGGTTGGAGGTCTTATCGACAATAAAGGCTACGGTATCGCCTTGCCACGAAGTAAGTCCAACAATTTTTAACCTTCCTTTAACCCTTTAACCCTCGAGATTTTGTTTCACTTTCCACATCGCGCTATCTTTTCTATTTTATTGCATTATTACTTATTTCTACACGCCTAGGAAATAATTGAAAAAAATTAAATCGATCCTGAAAATCTGAGAGTTAAAGGGTTGATTCTACTTTACTCTAGCTACACATAACAACCGTGAATTTCAATTATTCCTCAGATTCTCCATACAGAACCCCTATAAGCGGCGCGATACTGATGCTGCAGGAGAAAGGGGTGTTGCAGGATCTGAAGACGAAATGGTGGAAGGAACGTGGCGGTGGATTGTGTTCGAAAACCGACGCAGAACCGACAATGTCCAGCGAGTTAGGATTGGCCAACGTCGGTGGTGTATTCTTGGTCCTCCTGATCGGATGCTGCGGCTCGTTCGTCATCGCCGTCTGTGAATTCCTGTGGAATGTACGAAAGGTCGCCGTGAAGGAAAAGGTGAGTCCCCCTTTACTCCCCTCTCTTCCTCATCGTGGAACCGTTATCTCACCCTTGGATCTCTTTTACCCCGAAACGAATGATAAATTTCCCTCTGCGTCGCGTGTGCCTCAAGAAACGAAAGAATAATTCCTTTGTGCGCGGGGGTGGCCTTTAGATTCTCCTCTTTGAAAAGAAACAGACAAATGGTGACTGCTAATTTTTATGTCTTTGCCCCCGAGTTAAAACGAAAAAACATCCACGAAGGCTTTCTTTTTCCTTTGCTATCGACGGTTTATTGGACGGAATTAAGCGATGGCCGGAGCTCTGAGACCGTTTTTCGTCGGCTTTCTTGCAGGTCACTCCGTGGGAGGCGCTGGTAGCCGAATTGAAATTCGCCGTGAACATTTGGGCGGAGACGAAACCCGTTAAAATCTCGAAAAGCAGCGGCACGAGTTCGATGGAGGGCGGCATCGGTCGAGCGGCCTCGACAGCCCGCTCGATCGTCGGCTCTTTCCTTCGCCTCGACATCCTTGACAAATTCGACAAAGATAACAATACCAACAATTGCAGCGACGATCGCAAGATCAATTAAGATCTTCGCCCTTTGTTACACGGATTAACGGTGATTTAATTGGTAGTTATTGAATAGTTCATTTTACCGAGAAACACACGTAGATTGTCGCAGAGAAGATCCACCGGTACGTGTACCCTTTTATTTGTGAATAAGAAAATGGTAAAGATAACTACAATTTCCTGCGAGATTTCTGTTCAAATTTGTTCGACTAATTTTTAAACAAGTAATACACTCTACGCGACACTTTTATAAGCTCCTGCGGGGACAATCGTGATGGAAATAAAGCGTAAAACTGGATTCGGTTGTAATTTCTTCACCCGAGATAGAATTGTAACGCAATTTAGTAAACGGCAGACAGGATAGCGAAGGTAAAGATACGAGAAGAGATTGGTGAGAAGGATCGAAGGAAGCACAGCGTACAGCAGGGGAAGAAAAGGAAACATCAGACCTGGTTGTGCCTCCGCGCATAAAGTCGTCATTCTCGAGAATAGTCGCAGAATGACGACGTCATGGAAGGCAGAAATCTTCGCTGTAGGTCCGGAAAGGAATCCAACAATATTTGGACTCGACCACAATGGCGCTAACGAACCGTGCCCTTGGTTTAGAAGATTTTCGTCCCGAGGAATCACCTGGAGGTCCCCAGATACCAGTACCCCCCGAGTGCTGCAGGCCGGCATCTTTGTGTCATTATTACCGAGAGACGTTTCTGTGCGTAAGGATCGATCGTTGGAGGCAGGACACTTTTAACTTCACCGACCAGGAAAGTCAACGAGCAACTGGTCCCGTAAGTGACGTCAATGATCCCTTCGATACTTCTATTATCCTCCTTGCATGATATTTTAATACCTTTTGTGAAATTATGGGGACTTTTGCGACGATTGAGGTTGACATATTGGAGGATCGTGAGAGTTTTAATTTACGGAAGATTGGTTGGATCGTTCGTGAACGAAATTAGGCATTTGTCGATATTTTAACAAGCTTAGTTTAGAGATTCGGTAGATGTAGATTTCTATGCATTTGGAATATTTGATCGCTTATTTACAAAAATTCCAAGTTTTTCGATCTTCACCATAGATCACTTTTACGATCACTCACATTTTGCAATCTTCAAGGTGTTTTGAATTTTCTTGAAATTCACGTGAATAATTGCAATTTTCAATAATTCCACTCGGTCGAATTGTTGAGCAATGTTCTCTTCGCCACGCGGAAATCTACTCGATCCTCGATGGCGTCGAGATGGCCAGAACGCGGAAAAGCATCGCGTTTAATTCGAGCCGGCACAAACGAAAGGATTTCGAGGTATGAAGTCGTACGGCCGCGCCTACCGGTTGTTTGGTGATAAAGGTGTAAGGACATCAATTAATACTTGTTTTCATTGCAGCGGTAAAAGCGGATAGCACGATTACGGAGAACGTTTACGGCGGTCGAACGAGCTGTTAACCGTACGGTATTTTTGCAACGGGACGGTTCATAATCGCGAGCGTTTCGTGAAATGAAACTTTCCTCTTTTTACGGCTACGCTGACGCGTCTTTTACGAGCCACGCGTGTTTAGAGCCTGATATGGAAGTGGGTGTGTTATTAACTGTTGCGTGTCACGTTCTAGTTGAACACCGTGAACATTTCGTCGAGTTTACGAACTGTACGATCCACGTGAATTCCGTGAATTGTAATGGATAAACGAAGATTGTTTCGTGCTTTCACGGTTTTATATCGATCGTTTGTTGAATTGATGATTTACAGATGGAAATAGTGGATAGTATTCCTAAAGAAGGTGAGCTTTTCTTCGAATAACACGTAGAAAAGAAACATTTGAATAAGCGAAGAGTAGTAAGAAAAATAATTTAATAATGTGTTGGGTAATCTCTTAAGTAACATTATTGGAAGAAATCATCGACGAGAAATTGGTAATTTACTTGAAACATTTTCACATTTCTTTGTTTTTTAAATCTTCTTACTTTTCTTCCGTTTTTTAAATCTTTCGTACTTTTAAAAATTATCGTGTACCAATGCTCTTTTCTACGTTTCATTCTTTTTTAATTTTCCCTGAAAATTTTAATTATAATTTCGAACCCTTCAACTAATTATTCTCACTAAACTACATTGTTGCCTCTTTACAGGGCAACCTAACAAAATATTATTTTTCCATCCCTCTATTCTACCCGTTTCGCCACAATTCCCTCCGTGTAACATTACACGTTCCCCAACCCCTGTTCGAATCATCTTCCACATCGAAGCTCCCGTTTTATTAACACCGATGTAACCTTCCCTTAACGAAGCTTTCGGGGCAATAAAACTTATCTTTCTCGCCGGTAGTATCGTGGTAAATCCGTTGCATAGGCGGTTAGCGAAACCGCGGTCCGGCGCGATTTAAACGGCCGGGGGATTTAGCGGATTCAGATTATCGAGGAATCCCCTTAATCGACGCCGGAATAAATCGTGTTTGCCGAGGGGTTAATTAAGTTTTATGGTACGAGCGTGGAGCCGCCGTTATGCAGGTGTACGCGGCCGCGTTATCTACGATACATCTTCATCTTGGCAAAGGCTGACTTGGCCAATTGAAGCCTTCTCCACTCTCCTGCCGATGGTACGCGCGCGCCTTCGCGATCTTATCGCGACGACGACGAAAACAACAGGTGCACGAAATCACGGCCGTCTGCCTCTTCGAACAGAGATCCGCCGGCCCTCTTCTCCTCGCGTTGTCCTTTACGACCGCGCCGAATTTCAAATAGAATCGTAAAATTCTATCCTCGTCTCCGTTCCACCAGAGAGACCCCGCTGATGCCGCTTGTCGTGTTCACGACGAGAGGAAAGAGGAGAACAAGAAGGTATAACGTCGATTTGGAAGAATGATTTTGGTCGAGGTACTAAAACATCCGGGATTAGCTTTTCCTTCGACGTGCTGTTGAATGTCTGTGTTAATGGTCTTGAGTGGCGATAGAAAAGGTTACTTCGACTTGTTAACTGGGTCGTTAATCGATAAAATACGTCCTTTCTGGAAGGAGAATCGAGGAGATGAAAATTAAAGGTGCGTGCTCGTGAATTAACGAGTAGGTAAATTGAGAGAAGGTGATTGGAGGATTTTTGTTTTGGTTTATGAAAATTCTCTCGTTCACCTTTTATCCATGTGTGTTGAAAAAATCTCAGTTTTCTTTTTTTAAAGTTCGAATAATTCTTGTTAAGTTACTCTTGGTACATCAGCCGATCAAGACTACGAAAATTGTCTCCGTCACCTTTTATCCATCGTCAGAAAAGTAATGGGTCATCGAACCCTTCAACTAATTATTCTCACTAAACTACATTGTTGCCTCTTTACAGGGCAACCTAACAAAATATTATTTTTCCATCCCTCTATTCTACCCGTTTCGCCACAATTCCCTCCGTGTAACATTACACGTTCCCCAACCCCTGTTCGAATCATCTTCCACATCGAAGCTCCCGTTTTATTAACACCGATGTAACCTTCCCTTAACGAAGCTTTCGGGGCAATAAAACTTATCTTTCTCGCCGGTAGTATCGTGGTAAATCCGTTGCATAGGCGGTTAGCGAAACCGCGGTCCGGCGCGATTTAAACGGCCGGGGGATTTAGCGGATTCAGATTATCGAGGAATCCCCTTAATCGACGCCGGAATAAATCGTGTTTGCCGAGGGGTTAATTAAGTTTTATGGTACGAGCGTGGAGCCGCCGTTATGCAGGTGTACGCGGCCGCGTTATCTACGATACATCTTCATCTTGGCAAAGGCTGACTTGGCCAATTGAAGCCTTCTCCACTCTCCTGCCGATGGTACGCGCGCGCCTTCGCGATCTTATCGCGACGACGACGAAAACAACAGGTGCACGAAATCACGGCCGTCTGCCTCTTCGAACAGAGATCCGCCGGCCCTCTTCTCCTCGCGTTGTCCTTTACGACCGCGCCGAATTTCAAATAGAATCGTAAAATTCTATCCTCGTCTCCGTTCCACCAGAGAGACCCCGCTGATGCCGCTTGTCGTGTTCACGACGAGAGGAAAGAGGAGAACAAGAAGGTATAACGTCGATTTGGAAGAATGATTTTGGTCGAGGTACTAAAACATCCGGGATTAGCTTTTCCTTCGACGTGCTGTTGAATGTCTGTGTTAATGGTCTTGAGTGGCGATAGAAAAGGTTACTTCGACTTGTTAACTGGGTCGTTAATCGATAAAATACGTCCTTTCTGGAAGGAGAATCGAGGAGATGAAAATTAAAGGTGCGTGCTCGTGAATTAACGAGTAGGTAAATTGAGAGAAGGTGATTGGAGGATTTTTGTTTTGGTTTATGAAAATTCTCTCGTTCACCTTTTATCCATGTGTGTTGAAAAAATCTCAGTTTTCTTTTTTTAAAGTTCGAATAATTCTTGTTAAGTTACTCTTGGTACATCAGCCGATCAAGACTACGAAAATTGTCTCCGTCACCTTTTATCCATCGTCAGAAAAGTAATGGGTCAGTTGAGCGTTGAAAAATTCTCAGTTTTTTCGTGTCAACTTGAAGTTCGAATAATTCTCGTTAAAAATTACTATTGGTACATCTAAAATTTTCTATCAGACTCCAATCAAGACGACACGGTACCTAAAGGATACTTTACAACATAATGTAAAAATCATTGTTTCACACCAAACGAACCACAGAATTATTCTCACCGCTCAATTAACGCAAAAATGTCAAAAACCCCAACAGAGCCCGTCCACCTCCGTATTACAACGTAACCACGTTTCATTCTCCCCCCATTAATAATCCCTCACGTGGTCCGTTTCAAACTCCTAATCCCGACATCTTCACCGTTCCTCCGCTTCAGATATCCCCGGATAAGCCGTCAAAGCTCGGTATCAGTCGGGCCGGTGTACCAAGAGAGCGAAGATTCGCGGGATGGTCGGCATACCAGCGGTGGCTGAGGGACGTGGACGGCGGCGATCGGCGAGCGAGGAGGCCGTCCACATAAAATCCGGAGGTGTTAAGCAAGGGGAGGCGCGCATGGAAGCTGGAACGGTGCCTCTCTCAAAGAGGGAACCGCGGTCCGGTGAGCGAGCGCCGGCTCGTAGGAATTGAAATTGATTTCGGTCGACTTCCATTACTCAAAGAGGACCGGGGAACGCGCACCGACAAAAGTCACAAGACCGATCCTGCGTGGATAAGAGGCTTGCCCCCGTAGCCAGGACCCGGACTCGCCAGAGCCCGGCCGTGGCCCAAGAATTCCTGGCGAGTTTTACCAGCGGGAGAGACCG